CTGGGAGCTGCCCGAGCGGGTATTTGGACACCCGAGATGGGTACGGAAAGAATGGGCAACATGCCCAACAACAAATGTTGTCACGAACCAGCAGCGGCCGCTGTTGGGCAGGCGGCCTTCTGTCTCGAATGGACACAGGCCGCGGCGGCGTGGACAGCGAATCCTGTTCAGGATGAACAGGAACTGCTGTTGGGCATCGTACCCATTCTTTCCGTGCCCATCTCGGGCGTCCAGAAACAACACAGACACAATGAATCGTCGATCCCCCAGAGAGTATGGGAAAATACGGGAAGAGTGGGGGGGAAGACGAGAACCCAGGAAATGTGGGAAAAAATATGGGGAACAGTGTTAATTTGTGCGCATCTAGTCGTGTGCCCCAGGGCCCCTTCAGAGCAGGAGGGCGACTCCAGAATTGATTCACCCCAGACGTGGTTCTGGTTTGCCGAGTCTAGGGAAACGAACTCCATACACCGACGCTTTTGTCCGACCCTGCGCCGAAGTGCGCACAGGAGCGCGGATCCCGGTGTATGCGGGACCCTGGTGTATACATGTTTCGTTGTTTCGCTTGGAAAACGGGGGAAAAGTGTACACCACACCACCCCGACGCCGTCCCGACCCTCGAAAAAAAAGTCTTGGGATTGACAAAACAACCCGCCACTGGTGATGTAGATGTTCCAGTTTCCGAGAATCTACGAAGCGTGTGCCGAAGACTCGTAGACCCCTGAGAAAGTAGACTCACTTGCTCGTAGATCCGGCGGCGCCCTTGCGGGGCCATCAGGCCTCGCGGCTTAGGCCTGCTGCTCCCTGCTCCAGCTCCAGGCTCCCAGTCTCCGATGTTACACTTTGTGTTCTGCTTCCTATTGTGACTTGCTGAAGTCCGTGCGAGAGGGCGGGGGGGGGCGAAAAGGGCCCTGGTGACCTTCACCTGGGGGGGTTGTCAGAATTTAGGGGGGGGTCCTGGGACGCGTAAAAATACAAGAGACTCGCGCCCACGAAACCATAACCCCTTTGCAGAAAGTACACCAGATTCGCGCCCCCGGAGCCATAAGCCTTCACTGTACTCGCGTCCCCGAGGCCATAAACCCTTGCAAATTGCACTGTGTTCGCGCTCCCGAGACCATAATTTCATATAAAGTTAACTAGACTCGCGTCTCCGAGACAATACTCTCTCGTCTCAGAAGCCACGATCCCTCGTAAATTACGCGTTCTTCGAGCCCCTGAAATCATAAACCCTCGCACAGGATAGAATACTCGTGCTGTCGAGGCCACAATCGGTCCCAAGACGGACCGCGAGGCTCCCAGGAGGCCCCCAAGAGCGCTCCAAGAGCACCCCCAAGAGGGGTCCAAAAGGCCAACATCTGCGACGTCCCTCCGGTTTTTGATGCGTGTCGGCACGCTCGTTCGAAATTCCGACGCTGCTTCACGACAGCGCCCAGGCCTCACAGCATAGCTCCTGAATACCCCATTATCCGAGAGAGGAGCCGGGCGGCAGGGGGCGAAGCCCTTACGGAATATTTCGAACAGAAACACTTATGGGGTAGAACCTTCTGCGGCAACTCATGGGAACCTCTCGTACCATTTTGCTGGCTCTTGCGAGCCGACGCTCATCGACGCTAGTCGACGCTACATCGACGTTAATCGACGCTACACTGTCGCTACTCCACGCTAACCGACGCGAATAGGTCGACACTGTCACATCGATCACCTGACGCAAATCGACGCGACCGCACTCGAAAGACAGAACTACGACTGCACTGAAGGCCCCAACGATTTGCGACCAGGTAAAACCAATGATGTACAGTAGGAGCTCGACCACAAGAACCCTCCCACAAGAATGCCACCCGTGAAACCCACGGACGTCCATTGATTTGCCCCCACATATTTAAATAGGGCCACCGCACTAACCGGACACCCCACGCAGGAGCAGGAACCCACCTAAATCAGCACCACCATCAGTAGCACAATCAACATCACCACAGTCATGTCACCCCACCAAATCATCATGATCATCGCCACCAGCATCACCATCGTCGCCATTAGCGTCACAATCGTCATCCGCCTCGCAATCATTACCATACCATCCACCATGAACACCACCATCACCACCCCATCATGATCATCGACTATCAACATCATCATCATCAATCCACCAGCGCTCACTCACTCAATCACTCAACACTGAACAAATCATCTTCATATCATGACCCCGTTATGATCATCGGCAATAATCATCGCCACCACCATCATTGCACGCATTCCGCCACTCATGTTCTCACACACACACACACACACACACACACACACACACACACACACACACACACACGCATACCATTACTCATATCGAAAAACCCTCGAGCGGGAGCCTCGTCTGGGACTGAATTGCGCGGAAATCTCAAGCCTCCCCCCCGCCTCTATGGGGCCCGCAACTCATGTTAGCAATCCGAACGGGTCGTCAAAAAAATTGAAACTGTCGCCACTGTGGGGCTCCTGAAGCCTGAATATGGACGACGTCTAAGTCGGGAACCTCGTCTGCGAATGAACGGTGGGGAAATATTAAACGGGAGTCCCCTCCCTAGGGGGCCCGCAGCCCACGTTAGCAACCTCAACGGGTCATCAAAAAAAACCTGCAACGGTCGTTTTGTTTTGTACCCCTGACGCCTGAACATGGGTGAAGTCTTGAGCGGGGGCATCGTTTGTGAGTGGATTGGGGGGAGCCTCGCGCGGAAGCCCCCTCCACACGGGGCACGCACCTCGCGCAGGTAATCCAGGCGGGTCGTCCAAAAGTTGTACTTGTCTTCAACTTTGTGTTCCCGAAGCATAGGGACAAGTTCTCGAGCGGGAACCCGTCTGTGAATTGCGAAGAAGTCTCAGGCGGGACCCCCTTTCCCTATGGAGCCCGCAATCCATATTAATAATCCGAGTGGGTCACCCAAAAAACTTGTAAATGTCGTTACTTTGGGGTTCTCAGGCCTGAATACGATCGAGGTCTCGAGCGGGAGCCTCGTCAATGAGTGAATCGCCACGAAATCTCAGGCGAGAGACCCGCCCCTATGGGGCCCGCAACCCACGTTAGTAATCCGAGCGGGCCAACCAAAACATGTAAGCGTCGTCACTTCGGGGCCCCTCAGGCCTGAATGCGGGGGGGGATATCAAACGGGGCCTCGTCTGCGAATAAACCGCGAAAAGTATCAAGCGGAAGCCCCCCCCTATGGGGCCCGCGGTCCACGTTGGTAATCAAAGCGGGTCACCACATTCCCGTAAGCGTCCTCAATTTGGGGCTCCCGAACTCGAAACTAAGAAAAGAACCGAGCGGGGGCCTCGTCCGGGAACGGATCACGGGGGCGCCTCTAGCCCGCGCTCGGAAAAAATATCGCCCATGTGAGTTTGACTCCCTGCTGGCCTGCCACTGGCCCTCACGGGCCATCCCTCCCTGTGGGGTTCGCACTTCACGTTGGCAACCCGAACGTTACACAGTCAACCCGGAGAGTAAGGATGCGCGATAAGGATGCAAGGCCCTTGGACGCCCATGTCGAAGCTTCCCGAGCGGGGCGCGGCCAACGAAAGTGTCTATGGATGGACCCAGGAGGCAGGGATGCAAGGGTACCCTTGGGAGGGATGCCAATCCTTACTATGCGGGTCGATTGTATGCCGAGCTGGTCGTCGGCAAGGCTGTCCCAACGCCTGGCTCCCGCGCCCCAGCGGCTCGCGGGGTTGTCCCCAACGGCCCCGCCCGCGGAGCTGCCCCAACGGCTTCGCGATCCGGCCAGCGGAGAACGCGCCCATGCCGCCCGTGGCCGCATCGGCGCCGAGGAAAACCGATTTGCCCTGGCCAGGAGTCACAGGAGGTGCATGGGAAGAAGAGGCAGTAGGAGGCAGAGTGAGCAGGATGGCGAGGAGGAGGAGGAAAAGGGGAGGAGGAGGAGGAGGAGGAGAAAAAGGAGGAGGAAGAGGAGGAGACGGAGAGCGAAGATGACGAGGAGAAGAAGGAGGCGCAACGGAGAGCGGGAGGCGAGCCTCCGCCACGGCACACGGGAAAAAGCGAGGGGCAAATTGAACAGATTCTCATGGGAGGTCCGACCGTCGGCGGCACTGTTGTGGGAGCGTCACGCTGTCCATAGCAGAGCCGTCGAGACTGCGAAAAAACCCGGGGCACCCTGATGGAGAGCAGGGTGCTTTTTGGCATGGGCTTCCCCTGCAGTCCACCTCCTGCTCGGGCCCAGGTACCCCCCTCCCCGGCGCCCACCCCCGCGCCCCTCGCCCCAACCGCCGCGCCGGGCCGTGGCCGCGAGGCAGCAGCTCCTCCCCAAATGCCCAGGCAGGGCCACCTTTTACGCCCCGCCCCCTACAAATCGGACCTGGGCCAGACGAGCTCGAGGAGGGGATCGAGTAGAGAATCGATTCAGCCTGATCTTGATTTCTCGTCGAACCCATGAGAAAATGCATAGGATGTTCCGTCGATGTACGGAGCACTGTATATATATATATATATATACATATATATACATATATGTTTCGTAGATTCGGCGGGAAATCAATGTTGAGGAAAATCGTGTCTCCAGCCGATCCCCTACTCGAAGAGCACCCCTCCAGAACATGGGACCCTTCGTCAGCCAAAACCAACAGAACATCGAGGGGTGCCCTCCCCGAGAGATCAGGAGAGCATCCAACAAGCACGATGAACACCAGGGTACCCTCCCCAAACCGACCTCGATCTTATACGTCGGTCCGACTGCTCCCCCGATGCTCGACATTCGGCTCGCCGCCACAAGACGAAGCCAGGACGAGGATAAAATCGGGGAAGATAGATCAAGAATATCTGAGATCCCGCGGCTCTGGAAGATGTATCGGGCGCCGAGGCCTTCTCAGAGCGTTCCAGAACGCTCTGGGGGGCGTTCTGGAACGCTCTGGAACGGATGTAACCTCGTCCAGGCCTTGATTGGTTGGTTTCATGCGGCGTCCCAAGGCCGGGGTTTCATCCCGAGACGTTTTTTGATTGAACCCAGGAGGGCCCCCAGAAGCCGAAGACGGTCAAAAACACTCCGCCGTGATCTCGTCGCGACGCCAGCATGTCTGGGCGCATGAATTCTCGCCCTAGCCCCGTCTGGCGCCTCCTACTGTGCGCCGCCCGACGTCGCGGAGGGGGGTCGGGGATGGACAGAACCCCCTTTAGCAAAACGTGCTTTAGTCAAAACGACTTCGGGCCCAAAACCTGGCGGGCGCCAGCCTGGAAAAGGACGGCCGCGGCGCCCTCTCCAGAACCGAGAACGGACAATTCACCAATCGACGTGTCAGGGTGGGGGGAGCATTTTGCTCTTCTCCGGTACTTCGCCACCGGGCTCCTGCCGAAGGCGTCTCTTTGCAAGCACTTCGGCTTGGCAACGCCTGTATTCGAGGCTATGCCTCCTCTCGGCATCGCTCTGAGGCTCCGCCGCTTCCTCCCTCCTCTTCTCTGCCTAATTCAAGCTTCGCGCGGCCCGCTGAGCTTCGACCGGAAGAGGTGCGCTCTCGACCCGCGGATCAAAAAAGCATCAGGGTGCGGGGTCTGTCCACCCCCGAGGGGGGGGGAGCGCGACGGAGCCCCCCCCTCAGAAGGGCGCCGTCCGCGTCGCGTGCACGGCGTCCGGCCCGCGGTCCGCGCCGCCCTGCAGTTCTCCGGCGTCTTCTCCGTCGCCCTGGGCCCGCTCGGCGCGGCCTCCACCGCCTCCGCATCTTCCTTCTCCTCCTCCTCCTCCTCCTCCTCCTCCTCCTCCACCTCCTCCTCCTCCTCGCCCTCCCCCTCCCCCTCCTCCTCCTCCTCCTCCTCCTCCTCCTCTCCTCCTTCCTCCTCCTCCTCCTCATCCTCCTCCTCCTCCTCCTCCTCTCCTCCTCCTCCTCTCCTCCTCCTCTCCTCCTCCTCTCCTCCTCCTCCCCCTCCTCCCTCCTCCTCCCCCTCCCCCCCCTCCTCCCCCTCCTCCTCCTCCTCCTCCTCCTTCTCCTCCTCCTCCTCCTCCCCCTCCTCCTCCCCCTCCTCCTTCGGGGAGGGGGGGCGGGGCCAACGGCCAGCGGCACGAAGGGGTCGAGACAGCAAGGTCGGGGCGGCCAATGCTCCCTCGCCCCGGGCCTCCGGGGGGCCCGGCTCGGGCCTCAGGGCCGTGGAGGAAACAGCCGTGGGCCAGAAGCTGGCCACCAGCGAGGGGTCGAAAGCTGGGGGGGGCCACGTCGCGAAAGGATCGCGAGGCCAGAGGCTTGGAAGGGGGGCGTCGTGACGGGCAGGGCGGAAAGGTGGGGGGAGATGGAGACGAAGGGTGGACGGTGGAGCAATGAATAACAGGAGGGAGGAGAGGGCGAGAGGGGGAAGGAGAGGGGGGAAGCGCAAGCTAAGAAGACGCTCGCGCCATGTATGACATCCCATCCCTCCACCCATCCTTTCTCAGTGCCGACTGACATGTCCTAGACGACCCTGATCCCAAAAATGACCCCTGCCTTGCCAGGAGCCAACAGAAAGGGAACCTTGTACATTGAAGGAAGAGGAGGATCAGGTTGCGGATGGGCAGCACGAGCTGGAGGAAGAGGAGCAGGAGGAGGAAGGAGGAGGAAGAAGGAGGACCGGCAGCAGCAGGACTAGGAGCAGCACTAAAAACAAATAGCCCGTTGAAGTGCGACTGCCACTGATCAGTGGGACGACTATAGCGAACAGACTACATGTTCGAGGAACGAAAACAACAGGTCGTACGCGAGACGACGTAGCGACCTTACGCCGCGGCATACGCGGGCCGCCAGCGCGGCACGCCACTTTGGAGACGAGGACGCTCACGCGCGACCTTGACGCGGGCCGCTGACGCGCGAACGTCGGCGAAGACGGCCCCGCTCTCTGCGTCGCTCGCGTGGCCACGGAGACGAGCAGCCAGCCGGCTCGCGAGGCCGAGCGCGTCGAGCTGCGCGGCCCGGGGCCCGCGTTGCCTCGAGCACGCGGCGCCCGCACGGACGCCGCGGAGGCGCGCAGGGGGCACCCCCGACCAACACGGCGCTAAAATTGCCCCGCGCTCTGCCGAGGCCCGGCGGCCCCGCACCGCGCACGGGCGCGGTGCCGGCCCTCGCTCTCTCGTGCCCCGGGCGTCTCGGCCTGGGGCCCCTCGGGCCCTGGCCGGGAGAGAGAGTGAGGAGGAGGGCGGGGGACTGGCGGGCAACTCTTCCAGACACCGCTGCCGTGTGCAGGGACGGGGGAGGAGGGGGGACGAGGAGGTCCTCCTCCTCCTCCTCCTCCTCCTCCTCCTCCTCCTCCTCCTCCTCCTCCTCCTCCTACTTATGGTAGCGGTGGTGGAAAATGGGCCCATCAGGGATGGGTATGGACTTCCCCAGGCCGTTTTCCGACAGCCCCTGGGGCCCGAAATTTGGATGCCCAGGGCAAGCGTTCGTCCTGGGCCCGTGCAAGGCGGCCCCTGGGGCCGCCCTCGGGCAGGCCGCAGTCGAAGACAGACGGCGGCGTTGAAGAGATCACGACGTCGGAGGCTTAGACTCGGGGTGCAAGATCGATTCCCCCTGGACCTGTGCCAGGGCGAACTTCTGCCAGAGTTGCTAGGCGGAGTTGGCAGTGACAACGAGAAGGCTCCTGGAGACCCAGTAAGAGCCCACAGATGCCATCCCAAAACCTGGAACCTCGAAGACCCTCGGTTTGAAGACCGTCCGCAAGCTCCAAGAACCTCCCCCCAGGCCTCGGAAAGAACCAGCGAACACTCATGCCGCACTCATCTGCCAATGCCACCCCCCCGAAATGATGAACATTGGCCGTGGGCTGAATGAGTTGCCCTTCGACCGCAGAATTTGGGGGAGGCGAGCGTTTTCTTATCGGGCGTTTCAGCATGGGGCGGAAAGGGAGAAGGGGGAGGAGGAGGGGGAGGAGGAGGAGGGGGAGGAGGAGGAGGAGGCGGAGGAGGAGGAGGAGGAGGAGGAGGAGAAGAAGGAGGAGGGAGGAGGGGGAGGGGGGAGGGGGAGGAGGGGGAGGAGGAGGGGGGTGGGTCCGCCTCCGCACCTCTGCCTAATGCTGTACTGCTTGCCACAGTGCGTCCTGTGGGGGAGACCCCACCCTGCTTGATTGAAGCAGGCGCTGACAAGAGCCACGATCCACTCCATAGGGAGGGGGTAGGGGGGGGGGGGGAGGGCCCGCGCCGATCGGCAAGACAACGAGTAGGATACTCCATGGGGGGGTAAGGGGGGGGTGATTGCGAGGGGTCCCGCGCCGATGGGCAAAACGACGAATGTTAGAAAACGAGCACGTGTCCGCCAACCGTGTCCCTCCACCGCCTGCCACCCTCGGGCTGCTGTCCTCGGGAGCAGCGGCGGCAACAGCGAGGCAGCACAGAGCTCCAGGGGCTGACCCTGCCGCGGCCGCGCGGGCCCCCCGGAGGCCCAAGCAAAAAAGGGCGGTCCCCGGCCGCGGCCGCGGCAGCAAGAGCTCGCGACAGGCGGGCGCGCGTGGGGGGGGGCGCACGCGCACCTCGTCCGCCGCCGCGGCGGCGGCCTCTGCCTCGGCGGCCTCGGGAGAGGGGGGGGATCCCCCCTGCCTCGACGAGGAGGAGGGGGAGGAGGAGGAGGGGGAGGAGGAGGAGGAGGAGGAGGAGGAGGAGGAGGAGGAGGAGGAGGTTGACGACCGGGGAGAATAATCCGACCCTGCCTCGCTCTACCCTCTCGAAGAGCGACGGCAGGCGTCGAGTGCAGCCTTGCTGCCACGCCGCGTCGTTCGACGGAGGCGGGAGCCGTGGCCAGCGACCGAGGCGCGCAGGCCCTGCGAATCCCCTGGCGGGGATAGTGGCTCGTGGAGGCCATTGGGAGGCCCCTGTGCACGCCTGAAATGGCCCCAGGAAGCCCCTGCTGAAGGCCTGGAAGACTCGCGGAAGCACTGAAGCCCTGGAACACAATGGAAGTCGCCTGGAAGACTCGCGGAAGCACCGCTCAACGATGTGCTGTTTAACCGAACCTGCAGGGTGGGCCCTTTCCTAAATCCGTGCTTCGGTGCGGATCGTAAGCGCGCCTCGTCTCCGTCGTCGTCGTCGTCGTCGGCGTCGTCGTGGTCGTGGTGCGTGTTGCTCTGCTCGGGATTCTGTTTCCCTTAAGCAGTGACCACCCACTTGGCTTGCCAGGCATTGCACGCCGCCTGGCTGTCCGTCCGTCCGTCTGTCTGTCTGTCTTCCCGGCTCTCTGACCGCGGCGCTTTGAGCTTCTTGACTCGGGGACGCGTCGGCCACCGCCGCCCTCTCCCTTGTCGGTGGCCCTGACGAGGTTGGGGGAGAGGGTGCCGAAACGCGCCCAGAGTCCAGCAAGGCATGAGGGTGCAAACCCGACTTGTCTGGCTGATGCTCTGGGGGGGCCTGTGCTCAGGGGAGGCTGCAGCACCGCTCAACGATGTGCTGTTTAACCGAACCTGCAGGGTGGGCCCTTTCCCAAATCCGTGCTTCGGTGCGGATCGTAAGCGCGCCTCGTCTCCGTCGTCGTCGTCGTCGGCGTCGTCGTGGTCGTGGTGCGTGTTGCTCTGCTCGGGATTCTGTTTCCCTTATGCAGTGACCACCCACTTGGCTTGCCAGGCATTGCACGCCGCCTGGCTGTCCGTCCGTCCGTCTGTCTGTCTGTCTTCCCGGCTCTCTGAGCCGCGGCGCTTTGAGCTTCTTAGCTCGGGGACGCGTCGGCCACCGCCGCCCTCTCCCTTGTCGGTGGCCCTGACGAGGTTGGGGGAGAGGGTGCCGAAACGCGCCCAGAGTCCAGCGAACCTGCAGGGTGGGCCCTCTCCCAAATCCGTGCCTCGGTGCGGATCGTAAGCGCGCCTCGTCGGCGTCGTCGTGGTCGTGGTGCGTGTCGCTCTGCTCGGGATTCTGTTTCCATTATGCAGTGACCACCACCACCACCTCCTGCGCATCCGCATCCTCCTTCCCCGCCTCCTCCTCATCATCATCATCCTCCTCCTCCTCCTCCTCCTCCTCCTCATCATCATCATCATCATCATCATCATCATCATCATCATCATCATCATCATCATCATCATCATCATCATCATCATCATCATCATCATCATCATCATCATCATCATCATCATCATCATCATCCATCAATCATCATCATCATCATCATCATCATCATCATCATCATCGCCATCATCATCATCATCATCATCATCATCATCATCATCATCATCATCACATCAACATCAACATCAACATCATCATCATCATCATCATCAGCATCATCATCATCATCATCATCATCATCATCATCATCATCCATCATCATCATCATCATCATCATCATCATCATCATCATCATCATCATCATCATCATCATCATCATCATCATCATCATCATCATCATCATCATCATCATCATCATCATCATCATCATCATCATCATCATCATCATCATCATCATCATCATCATCATCATCATCATCATCATCATCATCATCATCATCATCATCATCATCATCATCATCATCATCATCATCATCATCATCATCATCATCATCATCATCATCATCATCATCATCATCATCATCATCATCATCTACATCATCATCATCATCATCATCATCATCATCGTCGTCGTCATCCTCATCATCATCATCAGCATCATCAGCATCATCATCATCATCGACAACATCGTCATCATCATCGTCAGCAGCAGCAGCAGCAACAGCATCAACATCAGCACCATGAGCAGCATCACCATCATCATCAGCATCATCATAATCATCATCAGAATCATCATCATCATCAAAAATAACAACAGACACAACAACAACAACAACAATAACAATAACAACAACAGCATAGTCATCATCAACATCAACGTCATCAGAATCAGCATCATCATCATTAGCAGCAGCATCATCACCAACATCATCATCAGCATCAACATCATCATGAGCAGCATCATCATCACCAGCATCATCCTCATTAGCATCATCACAATCATCCTCATCATCATCAGCAGCATCAGCATCAGCATCAGCATCATCATCAGCAGCATCATCAGTATCATCACCATCATCAGCATCATCATCATCATCCGCTTCCTCTTCCTCGTCCTCCTCCTGATAATCCTCCTGGTCATCCTCCTCCTCATCATCATCATGATCATCACCACCACCACCATCATCGTCATCATCAGCATCATCATCATCATGAGCATCATCATCTTCAGCACCATCCATCATCATCATCTGCAACAGCAGCAGCGTCATCCACATCCGCATTTTCATACTCTCATCATCAGCATCATCAGCATCATCATCAGAATCCGAGTCAGCATCGTCATCATCACCACCACCAGCATTCATCCGCATCAGCATCAGCACAAGCATCATCATCATCAGCATCTTCATCATCATCATCATCATCATCATCAGCAACAGCATCATCATCAGCGTCAGCGTCAGCATCATCAGCATCGTCATCGACAGCATCCGAAGCAGCATCAAAATCAGCATATTCAGCATCAGCATCAACATCAGCATCAACATCAGTATCAGCATCATCAGCATCATCATCATCAGAATCCTCATCATCAGCAGCGTCATCACCAGCATCATCGGCAGCAGCTGCAGCAGCATCAGCGCCATGATCGTCAGCCTCATTAGCATCATCACTAGCATCATCAACCTCATCAGCATCATCCTCATCATCATAATCATCATAATCATGATAATCATCATCGTCATCATCATCAGCATCATCGTCGGCAGCAGCATCAGAATCATCATCATCGTCGTCATCAGCATCAGCAGCATCATCGTCAGCACCATCAGCATCATCATCATCATCATCATCATCAGCATCATCATCATCATCAGCATCATCATCATCATGATCATCATCATCGTCATCATCATAATCATCATCATCATCGTCAGCATCATCATCATCATCATAATCAGCATCGGCAGCATCACCCCCAGCATGATCAGCGTCATCGTCAGCATCGTCATCAGCATCATCGTCACCATGGTCATTATCGTCGTCATCATCAGCAGCATCGGCAGCAGCTGCAGCAGCATCAGCGTCAGTATCATCTGCCGCATCATCAGTATCATCATCCTCGTCAGGATCAGCATCAGCATGATCATCATCATCATCATCATCATCATCATCATCAGGATAAGCATAAGCATCATCATCGTCATCATCAGCAGCAGCATCATCGGCGTCGTCATCATCATCGTCATCATCGTCAATAACAGCAGCAGCATAATCATCATCATCATCATCATCATCATCAACATCATCCTCATCATCCTCATCATCATCATCATCACCAGCATCATCATCATCGTCAGCATCATCAGCAGCAGCATCAACTTCATCATCAGCATCCTCATCAACAGCAAAATCATCAGCATCATCCGCAGCAGCATCTCTGCGCCATCGTCACCATCATCGCCATCAGCAGCATCATCACCATCATCAGCATCATCATCATCATCAGGATCATCATCCCTCACCCTGCTACCCAGGCCTCGGCCTCCAAAGCTATTCTCTCGGCCTCGGCCCACTGCAGCCGCGCCGCGCGCCAGCGCGCCGCGTTGCGGAGGTCCTCGGCCGCGGCGGGCAGCGGAGGGCTTCTACTGCGAGAGGGAAGGAGAATGAGTAGAAGCAGAAGGATCGAGAGGAGGTAGGAGAAGGAGGAGGAGGAGGACCAGGGCAACCCCAAGACTCATCATCGATGTTGTACTGAACCCTCCCTCCAAGCTCCCTCTTCACAGGCCCCTACAAAGGTTCATTTCCACTCAGGGAAGTGCCCCGTTGAGAGACAACCGTTGGAAGATCCAGAAGCGTGCCAAAACACCGTTCTCGGAAATTCAACGCCACGAATCAATTTTACTGTTGCGTCTTGACGATCACGAGTCGTGCCAGAACACCATTCCTGTAAGTTCAACTCCGCGAATGAACAAAACTTTTACGCCCTGACAATCTTGAAGCGCTCCAAAATACCATTCCAGGTACGTTATCAACGGGAACCTGTGAGACAACTTTACGCGTTCGATCATGGACCTCTCGCCACGCATCTTGGCCCCTGAAGACCGCCGAAAGAGCGCCGAAGTCCGCCAGCGAGCGCGCGCCCCACCGCGGGCGCCGCTGGGGCCCGACGCGGTCTTCGGCGGTCTTCGGCGGTCTTTGGCGGCCTTTCGGCAGTCTTCGGCGGTCTTCGGTGGTCTTCGGCGGACTTCGGCGGTCTTCGGCGATCTTCGGCGGTCTTTCGGCGGTCTTCGGCGGTCTCTCGGCAGTCTTCGGCGGTCTTCAGCGGTCTTCGGCTGCCTTTCGACGGTCTTCGGCGGTCTTCGGCGGTCTTTCGGCGGTCTTCGGTGGCCTTCGGCGGTCTGGACGGCGGCCCGACACGGTCTTCGGCGGTCTTCGGCGGTCACCGGTGTGCAGGCGGGATATTTCGCGTTAACAAGGGGTCCATGATCGAACACGTAAGACTACTGAAATTTCTAAAAAACGAACGCGCGCGAAGAACATTTTGAAAAAGAACGGCCCTCAATCCGTTGAAATCTTGCTATGTTTTACCACATGTTGAAAACCACCCGCCCTCCATCCGTGAAATTATTGCCAAGTTTTCAGCTTTATGATCATCAGTGGTGAGAAGCCTCAGGTGAAACGCCCCGCCCGCCCTTCCGACTGACCTCGGAGTGCGACAGGGAGAAGTTAGTTGTAAGGAAAAGGAATGGAGACGGAGGAGGAGGAGGAGGAGGAGGAGGAAGAAGAGAAGACGACGGAGGAGGAGGGGGAGGAGGAGGAGGAGGAGGAGGAGGAGGAGGAGGAGGAGGAGGAGGAGGAGACGACGGAGGAGGAGACGGAGGAGGAGGAGGAGGAAGAAAAGGAATCGCGGACCGAGGATCGAGGAGTTGGGACTCTGTTGGCCCATCTGGGCCTCCAGAGGCACTGAGAAACCTCTCCAGAAGAGGAGGAGGGAGGAGGCAGGGAAGGGAAAGGAGAGTCGGCCCAAGATGGTGCTCATACGATCGCGCCGAGCCGTGCTGACAGAAACCTTGTTGTCAGTAACTGGTTGATCGACTGGCGGACTGATCATTACAATCGGACGTAGGCCAGAAGAATATCCATCGAGAATAATGAGACCCTCCGCTGGCCAAAACAAACAGAACATCCAAGGGTATCCTCCCCAGGATGCAAAGGAACATCGAACAAACACGAAGACCCCGAACCGACCTCGATCTTATACCTCGGGCCGGCTGCACCATCATCCTCCAAATGGGGAGGAGAGGAGTTGGAGGAGTCTGGGGCGTCTAAACTCGTTGGGACCCAGAAAATTGCTCGGGAAGGGGGGATGAGGCCAAATCCGCTCAAAATCGGTCCCCGGACGCCTCCTGGGGCCCATCTGGTGTAATTTGTCTCCTGGGATCCGTTTCTGACGGTCCCGGGGCCTGGAAACGGTCCCTGGAGGCAGAAAAAAATTGCAAGCAAATCTCATAAACTTGAACCTGCCGGTCCTTCCTGCTCGCCAGAACCAGTGCTGGGCCACCTCAAACCCCCAGACGGCTCCAAGAGGGGAGGGTCTCGGCCAACCTGCGACCGCGCTGCGCGCCAGATCGCAGCGCGGCTGAGGTCCTGGTCCCCGCGCAGCGGCTGCGCCGCGTGCTCGAGAGCCTCCGGGTTCTGCTCGATGGCCTCGCGAACCACCTGGGCGACGAACAAGAAACGGACCTTACGCGAAATGGCATCGGGGCCTTGTGGCGGCTTTTAAGTGGGCCGCCAGCGCAGAACGCTACACTGCAAACGAGGGGCGCTTACGCGCGACCCTACGCGGGCAACCGACGTGCGAACGTCGGTGTGGACAACCCCGTTCTCCCGTCGGGAATGGACAGACCCCCCTCTAGCAAAACGTGGTTTAGTAAAAACGACCTGAGGCCCAAACCTGGCGGGCGCAAGCCTGGAAAATAACGGCCACGGCGCCCTCTCGTGAACCGAAAACGGACAATTCACTAATCGACGAGTCACTGTTGGGGGTCCTGTCCACCCCCGATCCCGTCGCTCGCCTGTGGAAGCCGCCCGAGTGGATCCCGGGCGGATATGGGGTTTCATGGGCCGCGCCGCAGCGCCGAGGCGTCGGCGCCGTCGGAGGGGAGAGAACCTCGGCATCGGGCTCCGGATCGCGCCGCGTCGCCGGTGGCCTCGGCCCCGCGGCGGGGGCTGGACCAAGGCCAGCTGCTCCGAGGACGGTTGGCTGGCCTGCAGGCGTCTGGGGGTCCCTGGAAGAGTCTCCGGGTCGGGGATCTACCGACCAGCCACAACTGGGGGAGCTGTGGTCCTTACCCCCCTGGGGGACCCATCGCCGGATCTACGGACCCAGGTCAATCCAGACCTGGATCAGTCGGGCCCTGCAGGATCCTGCCGAATCCTGCCGATGCAGCGGCAACGCGGCGGGGTTTGACCAAAGCCCTCTGCTCCGACGGCGACTGGGTGGCCTGCGGGTGTCTGGAGGTCCCTGGAAAAGTCTCCGGGTCGGGGATCTGCTGACCCAGGTCGATCCAAAACCTGGAGAAGTCTCCGGGTCGGGGATCTACTGACTACCTGCCAAACCACCCCAACCCAACCCGAAGACCCGAATTTGACCCGAACTTCGGGTTGGGGGGGTACGAGTTCCACGTGTTTGTTTCGTGTGGAAATGAAGGGCAAATCGCGGCCTTCGGGTTGGGTTGGGGTGGTCGGTGATCGACTGACCCAGGTCAATCCAAACCTGGATCAGTCGGGCCCTGCAGGATCCTGCCCAATCCTGCCGGATCCTGCACGCAAAGCAGGGCCAGTGCACCCTGGGTCTGCAAGATCCTGCAAGATCCCGCGCTCTGGCTGACCCCCTTTGCATTGACCCGGTGGTGCGCAAGCACGGATTAACGATCCATGGATTTGGCGCATGCGGCTGGTGCCGCCTCGTTCGGCGGCGGAAATCCGCGACCTCCCACGGAAACGGGACCCGTCGCTCATCCACGCCCCCCTGATCCGTGTTTGCGATCGCCCGAGTTTGCAGTGACCCCCGTCCCTTGAACCCCGACCGGAGGCCTCCGTGCGGCCCCCCCTTTGCAGTGACCCCCGTCCCTTGAGCCCCGACCGGAGGCCTCCGTGGGGTCCCCCCCGGGGGGGGGGTCCCGCGAGGCCTCCGCGAGGGGTCCCCCGAGAGGGAGGCCTCTCCAGGGGCTTCCCCGCGGCGTTCCAAGGGCCTCCGGAGGTCTGGCTCCGGAGGCCTCCAGAGGGAGAATGGAGAAGAAGGGGGAGGAGCAGTAGGAGGGGGCTGAGGGGAACGAAGCCTGATATTGCCACGAACCCCGACCTGAAAATGGAGGTGGGGATGATCGGTGAGAGCGGCAGGGACGACAAGGAAGGAGTGGCCTGTTGTGGGCTTGATTAGACGACGGGGAAGACGTCCGACGAAGAAGTATGTATATTCGTGGTTGGTCTCTCGGGGGCTTCTGGTAGGAGGGGGTCGAGAGGAACGAAAAGTGGCATGAACATAAAGACGCCCCAGCGCCGATCCGAGAAATCCGCGCAGACCTCCGAGTTTGTATGTTCACGTCATGGTTCGTTCCACTGGAGTTCGCCTGCTCCCACCGGCTGCCTGCTCGGTGACCCTGCGCCCCGAGGGCACTTCTTGAAATCCCACCTCCTCTGGCGCCTCATGTGCCCGCACCGGCAGCAGCCTCGATTCGTGTCCGCGCTTCTCGCTGGGTCGGAATGCTCACTTCTTGTCACTGGAAGAATGCAGCAGCCTCGATGCTTGCCAGCGGACAGGAGGAGTTCGGACAAAAGGCATGGGAGGCCCTCGTGAAGTCCCAAGAGGCCCGAAAGAACCCCAAGAAAACCACAGGAGCCTCCAACTGGTGATTCGAGACCCTCCGAAAAAGGCACTAGACAGCCCTGTTTTGCTGGTTCGATTTCTCGGCTCAACATGGTTTCAAGATGGCTTGTCAAATATCTGAGACTGTCCAAGAGGGCGCCCGACAAAACACCCAACTCAACAGGGCCTGAGATACTTCCAACATGTTCCAAGAGACCTCCAGGACACCCCCAAGAAGCCCCAACAGAAGCCTCCAAGATGCCCGCGAGAGGTCGCCCCCAAGAAGCCCAAAGAGCTCCGAAAAATACCCCAGAAAGCCCTCAGCAGGCCTCTACGACCCTGGCACGGTGGCGGGATGGGCTAAATTCTACGAGATAGCGAAAGGAGGAAGAGGAAGAAGAAGATATGGAGACGATGCCCAGCAGCAAATGTTGCCCAAAACCGACAAAGGCCGCGGCTGCGCGAAAGATAATTGCCCCAAATGAGCAACGTCCGCGACGACAACGACGGCGAGCCGTGATCAAATAAAAAGAGCCGCGGCTGGCTTTCGTCCCTTTTTGCCCGCCCCCACTTCGATCGCACCGACAGGAGGAGGAGGAGGAGGAGAAGTTTTGCCTGGCGGGCAATGCCTGCTGCGCTCTGTTCGGCTTGCGCGGCCTATTACTTTAAGGCCGACTGCGCACTGAATCTAATAATCTCCTCGCCGAGAGGGTACGTCGGAAGGGGGACCGGGGTGGACCACGAGGGCCTGTCAGGAGGACGGGAGGCGAGGGGGCGAGGGGACAACGGAGACGGCCGGAGCCGACCGCCTAGCCAGACATTTCGGGGGCGCCGCTGTCGTCCCCCCGACCCTCGCTGGAAGAACGCAAGGCGTCTCAGAAGCGAGGGTCAAATGCGAGCGGACCTAGCGGCACTGGCCGATCGTCTGCGTGCGACTGGCCAGTGCGAGGGTCTCGCGACTCCCAGAAACGCTTGAGCTGGAAAGCCGTGGCCGAGCCTCGCACGACGCCTCCAGAGCAAGACTTCGCACAGGAAACGGCGTTCTCACGAGAATAGCTGCCACAAGCACTGCAAAGCACATAATGGTGCACAGTGCACAGCCTGTGCCGTCTGCCCACGACCTCGCACTTGGTAGGAAGGCTGGATGGAGCAAGGCCGCTGCGCATGCACAGAATGCAACGGTACCGCACGTGCAACTTTACAAGGCCGTGGCGGCCGTCGCACAGGGCGCTGCGCCTGGTGCAAAAAAAGCCCTCCCCCTCGTCCGGGACGCGATTGCTCTCCTGCTGGGGAAAAGACCAGGCGTGGAGGAATCGCCCAAGGTACTTGCCAACAACCTGTACAAGTTGGTGAGCACCGGTGACCCTCCGCTCGGCCTCAAAACTTCTGGGGTGGAGGGTTGCACGTGCTTTGGCCGCGGTGTCGGCATGTACCGAGGCGGAGATATCGAACATCGTCGAACTGGAAGTCGTCGGAGACTCTGGAATGCCTTTCGACTTTGCGAACCTGGAACCCAAACTCGAAATCGTCAAGGGCGTTCCAAATCATCGTCCACAAATCGGCCGCCACGCAGCCCGAGTGAGTAGTGGTCTCTGTCCTGCTTTTGGCGCGGGACGTCACAACCCAGAGGCAGTCAGAGCAAAATGTGATATAACCAGGAGGAGGAGGAGGAGGGGGACGGGGGAAGATGGAGGAGGAGGAGGAGGAGGAGGAGGAGGAGGAGGAGGAGGAGGGGGAGGAGGAGGAGGAGGAGGAGGAGGAGGAGGAGAGGAGAGGAGGAGGAGGAGGAGGAGGAGAAGGAGGAGGAGAGGAGGAGGAGGAGGAGGAGGAGGAGGGGGAGGAGGAGGAGCAGGAGCAGGAGGAGGAGAAGGACAACGAGACAGGCACCGGGACATCCATCGACAGAGCCTGCGTTCAGCGTAAGCTTCAGGAAGACGACGAGGACGGGGACGAAGGGGACCAGGAGGACGACGAGGGCGACGAGAAGGACGACGAGCACGGCGAGGACGACGAGGACGAGGAGGAGGAGGAGGCACGAGGAGGCCGCGCTCGGGCGGCCCCTCGGGGGGACGCCTCGCGGTCGCCGCGGAGCCCCGGGGCGGCGTAGTGCAGCACCAGGCCGTCCTGCCGCACCGCCGCCAGCACCACCGGGCGCAGGCCGCGGAGCTGCGGCGCCTGGATCACGGCCGGGCTGCGCTCGGCGAGCAGCACGAGCTCGTCCTCCGGGGGCGGGCCGGCCCGGTGGCCCACGAGCAGCTCGATGGCGTGCCAGTCCTGCGCCACGGCGGCGAGCGCGTCGTCCAGGCACACCTTGGGCGGCGCTGGAGGGGGGGGGGAGGGGCGAAGAGCTGGTGGAGCCTTCGGCCAGGATCACCTCTGACAAACCCTGCAACGTAGGAGGGAATGACCCTCAGGTTGCCTCTGGCCCCTCCCCCACGCTCCACCGATCAAGCGGGCAGATCTTGTCTTCCCCCCCACCCCCTGCATCGGCCACGGGCGGCAGGGCGGAGGATCTCTCCTCCAGCACACCTTTCCAGACCTCCGACGTCTTGGAAAAAAAACGGGAACCTGTCGCCGCTTTCGGCCACTCGGGGCTCTTTTCACACTGCAAGGCCGTCCGGGAAAAAAACACCTCGGACGAACAACAAGCTGTACCCAGGACGGGGTCGAGAGCCCATGGACTCACGTATTGAAAACGAAACCTTCCTCTTCCTCCTCCTCCTCCTCCTCCTCCTCCTCCTCCTCCTCCTCCTCCTCCTCCTCCTCCTCCTCCTCCTCCTCCTCCTCCTCCTCCTCCTCCTCCTCCTCCTCCCTGCTTTATCGTCTCCTCCTCCTCCTGGCCCTCCTCATCCTGACCATCCTTCTTCCAGAGGCACTCGCAGACTTGCTTCAACAGGCCTGCGCACACGAAACGCATGTGCACGTGCGCACGTGCACGCACCCACAGAAATTGTACATACAAACATACTGTGACATACCCTCCCCTCGTCGTCCTCCCCCTCCTCCTGATCAGCATTCCAGGCAGGAAAAGCCATTTCGCATGTCCACCTTGCTCATCTGCCCTCTTCCTTTTCGTCGCCCTCACCCTCCTCATCCCCTTCTCACTCAGATGTATCCAAAAGCATGCACGTGCGCACGCAAATAGTACGCACACTTGTACGCAATGCCCACCGTCACATTGACACACGCACATATCTGAACATGGATACGGCAGGTTCGTGTCGTGCCGACGCCAGCGTTGGTTTTTGACACCGCAGGGATCGAACACCCTTGAACGATCGGCCGCTGCCGCAACGTCCGATCGTTCAACATCGATCGATTCTGGGTCGCCAGCGGCGTTCAACCTTGAACGTCCGCGCTGGGGTCGCCGCTGGTCGACACGACGCAAACCTACCGTATAGGCAGATGCTCGCACCTGCAGATGGTCCTACGCACGTAATGCTCACACGCAGTTCGCTCCAAGCCCAGGGCACCACGGCAGGGCACCTGCGGAGCGGGCTCTTCCAGATTCTGCTCCTCCGAACGGCAAAGGCATACACACAGCTGCAGAGCTAGTGCCAGTGCCACTGATGCAGAAGGAACGAGCAGCACGGCATCAGCATCACCGAAGGAAGTACAACCTCCTCCTCCTCCTCCTCCTCCTCCTCCTCCTCCTCCTCCTCCTCCTCCTCCTCCTCCTCCTCCTCCTCCTCCTCAAGCATCACAGCACCACCCCACAAGTACCCTCGAGGACTGAAGCGCGCCTGGATGAGCGCGAACTCCAACGCCCTCCAGTTCTGCGCCACGGCCGCCGACACGACCCTGGGCGAGGGCAGAGAAACCAGAAATGCTCGGGAGTGGCGCACGGTACGCCACGGCAGCTGCTGAGCAGCTGGCTCCTGCGTGTCCATCCCCCGCTCCTCCTGCCTCCTCCCCCTCTCTCTCTGCTCCCCTCCACGCGAACGCCCCTCGAGACTCTCGAGAGGCACCGACGTCTCCGATCCGGCGTGTGAGCTTCGAAGGGCCTAAGCCACAGCCTACAGTCTGAGCTTCAGCTCTGCTGGGGTGGGGGGGGGCCGGGGGGCTCTGCCAGGGAAGGTCGGCGAGCGAGGGGGGAAGTGAGAAGGAGAAGGCCTTCTCAGAAGGCGGCGGGCCTTCTCAGAAGCCCTCGGACCTTCTGAGAAGTTTTTTGTGCCTTCGGGGAAGGCTTCGAAAACTTCTCAGAAGGCCAGGGGACTTCCGAGCCTTCTGAGAAGGCCTTCTCCTTCTCACTCCCCCCTTCGCCCACCGCCAAAAAGGGGTGGGGCCTGCTCCGCCTGTGTTCTGCTTTCTGGGCGGGGCTGGGACACGTAAAAATCCACCAAATTCCCAGTCTGGGGGCCAGAGCGCCCAAGATAGCGACCAGATATGTCCCAGACGGCTCAAGATGCACCCAAGATGGCCCGACGAGGCCCAAATCATTGATTTTCGACATGCTTTTGAAGGATTTGGGTGCTTCAATTCTTTTCGGCCTTCCGACGGCCCAGAGGCCCCCAAGATCGCCCCAGAGGCCTCCAAGACGGCCCGATGACGGCCAAGGAGGCTCCTGAGACGGCCCCAAGAAGGTCCCAAGACTTCCCAATAGGCCCCCAAGACAGCCAAGGCCATGAAGAACCCCCAGAGCGCTTCCAGACGGCACAGCGAGGCTTAAGACGGCTTCCGACGGAGTCCGACGGGCCGGGAACGCCCTTAGAAAACCAAAAAGGCTTCCAAGAAGCCCCCAAGAGGCTCAAAGACCCCAAGAGGTTTCCTCCTACAAAGGCCCCAAGAGCTCAAAGACGGCCCCATAGGCCTCCAAGCGAACCCGAGCACCATCGGGAGCGCCCCGGATCGGCGGCACTGGCCAGAGGCCACTACAATCAGAAGCCTCGCGAAACCGCCAGACAGCGGAAATCCGCCTGCAACTGGCGAACCCCCGCCGAAACCACGCATCCTCCTGATTCTCCACCTCCTCCTCCTCCTCCTCCTCCTCCTCCTCCTCTTCCTCCTCCTCCTCCTCCTCCTCCTCCACCTCCTCCTCCTCCTCCTCTTCCTCGCCCTCCTCCTCCTCCTCCTCCTCATCCTCATCCTCATCCTCCTCTTCCTTGTCCTCCTCCTCCTCCTCCTCCTCCTCCTCCTCCTCCTCTTCTTCGTCCTCCTCCTCCCCTCCCCATCCCCTGCCTTCCGCCCCTCCACGAGGTATAGCAAACGACGACGGCGACGACGACGGCTCCAGACGACGATGACGACGATGGCGGCGACGGTGGCCGCGACGTCGGCGGCGACCTCCAGCGACCACCCGTCCACTGAGACCTTTTGAGGCCCCTAAGAGACCCACCTGGGGCCCCCGGTCAGGCCCAGAAGGATTCGGAGCCGTCCAGGAGAACCTGGACTCTCGATGCTCCAGCTGCGGCGGCGAAGACGACTCCCACGACGACGACGACGACGACGACGACGACGACGACGACGACGACGACGACGACGACGACGCCGACGCCGACGCCGACGCCGACGCCGACGCCGACGCCGACGCCGACGCCGACGCCGACACCCACGACGCCGCCGAGGATTCCCACGACGACGACGAAGACGACGACGACGACGATGACGACGACGACGACGACGACGACAACGACGACGACGCCGACGACGACGGCGACGCCGCCGCCGGCGACGGCGACGGCGACGGCGACGGCGCCGGCGCCGGCGACGGCGGCGGCGACGGCGGCGGCGGGGCAGCGCGCCCACGGTCCGCGCGCAGTTCGGCGGAAGCCATGGCCAAGGCGCAGCCGTCCACCGCCATGGCCTCGCGCGGGCTGCCGCGCGTCGGCAGGGCGTGGCCGCCGCCGTGCGTCGCGGGTCGTCGTCGTCGGCGGCATCGTGGCCGCAGTCCTTAGGGGGCCACATGCGAACCCCACCGTCCCCCTCAGAAGTCGTGGGGGGCAGGGGTAGGGTTCGCACGTGGCCCCCTAGTCCTGGTCAGCGTCGTTGCCGTCGCCGTCGTCGCGGTTGTGACCGTGGCCCGCGGCCGCCTTCGTGGCTGTCGTGGTCGTCGTCGTGGTCGTCATGGTCGTTGCCGTGGTCTCGGTCGCGGCCGTCGCGGTGTAGGCTGGCAGGCACGGGCGAGACCGAGCGGCCGGGCCCACAAGAGGCCCACGCGAGGCGGCTGGGGGGAGGCGGTGCGGAGGCGCGCGGCGGCAAGGGGGAAGCGAAGCAAAAAACTCCCACCGACGGGAAACCAGCCCTCATGGATGTGGCGAGTTGAGCGCACACAACCAGCAAGACGGAAGCGCGCGAAGGGGGGAAAGATATGGAGTCGTGCGCACTGCACGCATCACGCAAGGTATGACGGCCTGAAACGAAGCAGAACAAAAACAGACGAGCTGCGTCAAGAGAGAGGCTGAGAATGTAATTATGTGAAGCCTTGCATGTCAGGACAGAAACATGGATTCGCTCCCGTATCAGGAACACTTACTCGACCGCTGGATCAGCGTACGTGAGAGGGGCAGGGACTCCCTGCCGTCCTGGTCGTCGTCGTCGTGGTCGTGGTCGTGGCCATGGCCGGGGCCGTCGTCGTCGACGACGTCGCCGACAAAGTCGCGGTCGTTGTCGTCGTCGTCGTCGTCGCCGTCGTCGTCGTCGCCAGTCGTCGTCGTGGTCGTCGTCGTCGTCGTTGTTGCCGTCGTCGTCGTCGGCGTCGGCGTCGTCGACGTCGGGCTGGGCGTCGGTGCCGTCGTCATCGTCGCTACGTCGTCGCCGTCGTCCTCGCAAGGCTTGTGGCCACCGACGTCGTCGCCTCCGCGGCAGCAACAGACGGCCACGTCTGTTCCTTCTTGTTGGCCCCCAGGGGCCTACAGAGGGCTCTGGAGAGGCCGCCATGGGGGCGCCGTTAACGTAGTTGTCGTCGGCGTCGGCGTCGCCGCCTGTCGTCGTCGTCGTCGTCGACGTGATTATGGTCGCGGTCGTCGTGCTCGTGGCAACCGTGGTCGTCGTGGACGTGGCCGTCGTCGTCGTTGGCTGGGGAGAGGAAGGAGTCGTCGTGCTCGTAACCGTCGTTGTCGTCCTCGTCGTCGTCGTCGACGTGGCCGCCGTTGTTGAAGGAGGAGGAGAAGGAAGAGAGAAGGAAGAAGGGAGGAGGAGGTGGTGGTGCATTCCCGCCTTTTTCCCTCCGTCCTTCTTCTGCGGCTCCATAATTGTCCGCGTCCTCATCCTCATCTTTATCTCCCTCATCAGTGCAACCACCGTCACCCCTCGCTTTCTTCGCTCACCCCTTCTCGTTCAGTATCTCCTCCTCATCCTCTACCATCTCATCCTCCTCCTCCACATCTTTCTCCTCGTCATCCGTCGTCTTCCTCCGTCCTCATCCCCTCTCCAAACATTATCCTCATCCTCTCCCTGATCATCCTCTTCCTCCTCGCTCAATGTTGCCTGTTCTCGTCTTCGGTCTCTCGGTGTTCGTAGTATTGCTATTAGCAGTCTTCTTATTAGTCGCATTACTATTCTCAGTAGTGGTAGTAGTAGTAGTAGTAGCAGTAGTAGTAGTAGTAGTAGTAGTAGTAGCAGTAGTAGTAGTAGTAGCAGTAGTAGTAGTTAGTAGTAGTAGTAGTAGTAGTAGTAGTAGTAGTAGTAGTAGTAGTAGTAGTAGTAGTAGTAGTAGTAGTATAGTAGTAGTAGTAGTAGTAGTAGTAGTAGTAGTAGTAGTAGTAGTAGTAGTAGTAGTAGTAGTAGTAGTAGGTAGGTAGTAGTAGTAGGTAGGTAGGTAGGTAGGTAGGTAGGTAGGTAGGTAGGTAGGTAGGTAGGTAGGTAGTAGTAGTAGTAAAAGTAGTAGTAAAAGTAGTAGTAAAAGTAAAAGTAAAAGTAAAAGTAAAAGTAAAAGTAAAAGTAAAAGTGAAAGTAAAAGTGAAAGTAAAAGTAGTAGTAGTAGTAGTAGCAGTAGCAGTAGCAGTAGCAGTAGCAGTAGTAGCAGTAGTAGTAGGAGTAGTAGTGGTAGTACTAGTACTAGTAGTAGCAGTAGGAGTAGTAGCAGCAGTAGTAGCAGTAGTAGCAGTAGTAGCAGTAGTAATAGTAGTACTGGTACGACTAGTATAGTCTTCTGATTAGAACGAGTAGTTACTCGCAGTGAATTTATTTGTCCAAAAATACTATCATCAGTAGAATCACTAGTATTGATGTTGGTATCCGTAGTAGTATTATTAGTCGAAGTAGTATCACGAATATCAGTATTGTTATCAGTAGTACGAGTGTACCCCTACCAATCGTATTATCACTGGTATTCTTGTGAAACTTAATGATAATAGTATTACGCGTACTCACAGAATTCTGATCAACATGCTCATGATTCGTACGATTCGTGTTGCTAGTATTACAAGTAGTTGTCCGATTATTACTAGTACTACTGTGATTATTATTAGTATGTATGGCATTATTAATGTGAGGCGTGCGTGCCTTATTAGTACTAAAATGATTCGTCTGATACGTCGTGTTATTATCATTCCCCTTATTTGTAATATCATTATTCGTTGTATTCGTCGTATGTTTAAAAATAGATTGACTTCGCATTCGTCGCGTGGTTAGTATTAGTAGTATGTTTCGTGTTAGTCGCCTTCTTATACATATCATTAGTAGTGTTTAGGATTCCGTTGCTTGTTATTCATATTCGTATTATCATTATTCGTAGTCTTCTTACTAGGATTATGAATACTAGTATTGTTAATAGTGATCATATGAATATCATCCTGCTCCTCCTCGTTTTCTTCCTCCTCCTCCTGCTCCTCCTCCTCCTCATCCATCACCTCCTCCCCCTCCTCCTGCCCCTCCTCGTCCTCCTCCTTCTGTTCCTCCTCCTCCTCCTCCTTTTCCTGCTCCTCCTCCTCCGCCTCCTCCTCCTCTTCCTCCTCCTCCTCCTTCTCCTCCTTCTACTCCTCCTACTCGTCCTCCTCCTCCTCCTCCTCCTCCTTGCTCCATCTCTGCTTCTCCCATCCTCCCCCTCCTGGAAAATTCTGGGCTCCACGGCTGCTGATGACTCGCCGAGCCACAGCGACGCCGCCGACGGCCCTCAGAGCTTTGCCCGGCGCGCTGCCAAGACGCGCGCCGCTGCCTCAGAGCCGCCACCATGGCCCTGCCCTTCAGCGCATGCGTGTAACTACTTCGCGTCGACGACCCGAGGCCAGAGAAGATGCACACGAACAGACCCATGGACGCCAGCGGACCGCGCCGCGCCGGGTCCCCGGCTGGACCGCGCCCGCGCCCCTCCCCCTGGGGTGCCAGAGTTCGTCGACGGCGGCCCGACAACGACAAGGTCTCCGACGGCGCCGCGCCGCGTTCGTGACGTTGGTCGGACTCAGAAGCGCCAAGCTTGTAGCGCTCTGCGCCACGCCGCGCCCCTTCCTCCTCCCCTATCCTCATCCTCCTCCTCCTCCTCCTCCTCCACCTCCTCCTCCTCCTCCTCCTCCACCTCCTCCATCCACCTCCTCCTCCTCCTCCTCCTCCTCGCCTCCTCCTCCTCCTCCTCCTCCTCCTCCTCCTCCCCGCCTCCTCCTCCTCCTCCTCCCCCCTCCTCCTCCTCCTCCTCCTCCTCCTCCGCCACCTCCTCCTCCTCCTCCTCCTCCTCCTCCTCCACTCAAACTCAAGCTCAAACTCGAGCTCAAGCTCGAGCTCCAAGTCGGCGCCTTTGCTTCCCCCCCCCCTCAGGTCCGAAGCGGAGGCCGAGGGCGGGCCCAGGCCGCTGCCCGCCCCCCCCCCGCGCCGCGCGCCTCCAGCGCGAGGTCCTTCTCGCCGCGCAGCCGCGGGGAGCAGCGGCCCAGGGCCGCGCCACACTGCCGCACGGCCTCGGGGCCCGACGACGACGACGCGGACGAGGACGACGAGGAGGACGACGAGGAGGAGGAGGAGGAGGAGGACGACGACGACGACGACGAAAACGACGACGACGACGACGACGACGACGACGACGACGACGACGACGACGACGACGACGACGGCGGCGGCGGCGGCGGCGACGACGACGACGAGCACGACGAGCACGACGACGAACACGACGGGCACGGCGAGCACGACGACGACGAAGACGACGACGGCGGCGGCGACGACGACGACAATGACGATGGCGACGGCGACACGGCGACGCCTGCGTCGTGTGCGGCTGCGGCTGCGGTGGCGACGGCGACGGCGACGGCGACGGCGACGGCGACGGCGACGGCGACGGCGACTGGCGGCGACGGCATCGGCCGCGGCGGCGGCGACGGCGACGGCGACGACGACAACGGTAGCGACCACGTATTCGAGGACGACGGGGTGGAGGGGGAGGGGGAGAGGCGGTAGCAGCAGAAGCGGGAGAGGGAAGAAGGAATAAGGAAGAGGACTCTCTGTCCTGCTCGTCCTCCTCCTTCTGCTCGTCCTCCTCCTCGTGACCCTAAAATACTGACGTCATGGCAACACAAAATACGTTTCTGCGAACGGTCGGGTCGAGCTGTCCGAGCTGTCTTCGGTCTTGCTTCAGGACCCAAACAAGAGCATAGCGCTCGGCCCCTTCGTCCTGGGGCCCAGAGTGCTTGGAAGACGCTCTCATGCCTCACCGTTCCTGCGAGCCCTTATGGAATCACGCCTGGAAAATCCCCCTCCACGATCCCGGTCCAAGGTTAAAGGGCGCTGGGGGCGGCCGTCTTGTCGGCGAATCGAGGAGCCAGGTTGAAGTTTCGAAATGGGGATCGGCCAAAGACTTGACTTACTCCAAACTGGATCTTCCCGCCGATTACACCAGAAACGCGTAGAATGTTCGTAGATCGACGGGACACTCCACGCATTTGCTCGCAGATTCTGCGGGAACCTCAATTCTGGGGTAAAACAATGCTGTAGTCAATCCCCTGCTCGAAAGTTGGTACCCCTTTCCTACTCCTGGACGAGCACTAGACAAGCGAGTTCCACTACTCGCAAAGTAGCTACTCGCAAACGGCCTGGATGAATTACATCGAGGCAGACAAGCTCCATAGCATCGAACAGCAGTTCCCTAATCAGAGCTAGCCTCTGTAGGGGTCCTAGCGCATTTCAGCGCAGGTGAGGTGTGCCGCCGATTCGGTGGCCGGGCCCGGGTGCCCGGGTGCCCGGGTTCGCCGCCGATTCGATGGCTGGGCCCCGGTGCCCGGGTGCCCAGGTGCCCGGGTTCGCCGACGATTCGGTAGCCGGGCCCGGGTGCCCGGATGCCCCAGTGCCCGGGCCCGGGTGACGGGTGCCAGGTGCCCAGGTGGGTGCCTGGGTGCCGGGTGCCTGGGTGCCCGGTGCCATGTAGCCCTATAGCCCTATAGCCCTATAGCCCTATCGCCCTATAGCCCTATAGCCCTATAATAGCCTTATAGCCCTATAGCCCTATAGCCCAATGGCCCTATAGCCCTATAGCCCCAAACAAATTCTGATTAGGGCTTTTCTCCGGTATCATTGTTTTTGATGGACCTTTGCGAGTACAGTCGGGGGCTTGACCTAAGGAACCCAAAATAAGGAACGAGGTCCCTGTTTCCCAAAAGTTACACTTCGACTTCCTATGGAAAACCTTAGGGGAATCTAGGGCAAATTGCACAACAATCAAGGAACACCGAGCCCCCCCCCAACGAGAAGGGTTCCTTCTTCAGGGCCCCGACTGTATCGGAGGCCTAGAGGTTGACACCAACACCAATATCGGCGTTGTGCCTCCACCGAGGGAAGCAAGATCCCGATCTCGGTGATGGTGGTAATATTCTGGTTTCCAGGGTGGGCGAAATATTACCACCAACACCGAAATCTAGGATCATCTTCCCCATGTGGAGGCAACCCCCTGTGTTGGTGTTGGTGTCAATTTCCAGGCCTCCAACTGTAGGCACTTTGGGAGTAGTGGAGCGCGCTTGGTGAAGCACGGCCAAGAGATCACCTTGACCTGCACGTCAGGACTGCAAGAAGGCGGAGCTCGAAGGCCCGTGGTCTGTTCGAGGGGCGGCCCCGGGCTTCTGGGCGCCGGCCGGCCGCTGGGGCCGCCGGGGGGGGGGGGCACTGACAGGGACGCCGGCCAGCTCCCCTCTCGAGAGCCCCTGGTGCTCGGCAGCCCCAAGAGGCGGTCTCGAAGAAGTCTGCTGTCGCGGGAGTCTTCCGGACGAAGTGGAGGCCGAGGGAGTGCGGGTGTGAAGCCGCTGCGGAGAGCCACTGCGGGCACCCCGCCGACGACCTTCGGCGTCGTTTCTTGGAACGTCCCTGCTCCCAGCTGGTCCGTGAGGATCTGATGGAAGAGGTGATGGGTGTGCTGCATCGGACTGAGCGCCGTAAGCATACTCCTGTTAGGCCTCCAGGACCCCCCTGTTGCTGCGTGACCTCCAAAGGGATGTGGGCACAAGGACTTCGAGCTTGTTCGTCGGGACGCAGGCCTCTCCTCAACGGAGGCCTGAGCGGGAGGGCAGTCTCTACTGATGGCTCGCTCGCTCGCTCTCTCTCTCTCTCTCTCTCTCTCTCTCTCTCTACTCGGCGGTGGACAAGCCTCCCTTTAGTAAACCTCCCCTTAGTGAAAACGGCCTGGGACCGAACTCGACGGACCTGGACCCGCAAAAATGGCGGCCACGACTCCCTCTCGCGAACCGAAAACGGCCAACTCCTGAATCGACGTGTCAGGGTAGGAGGTCTATCCACCTCCGATCTACTTCTCTCCCTCTCCTTAAAGCAGGAGAGCCCAGAATCGAATCGATAGGTCGGACCGGCGATCGAAATGAATCGGATCGGCGGACATCGGCAGCCGAGTCGGGAAAAGTCGAATCGGCGGAAATCGGCAGGCGAGTAGGCCTCCAATGAGAAGCCGGAGGCCAGGTCGGAATCCGAGGCCGAAGCCAATGGGAATCGGAAGCCACCGAGGATCGAATCGCATCAGAGCGGAGGAATCGAAACGAGCTCCGCTTGAAGTGGCCCTAGGTCCGTCCACGGGACCGCCCGGTCCGTGCACACCTGTGGGGCTCCAACGCATCATAGGGGGCCACATGCGGACCCCAACCCCTGCCCCCGACGACTCCTGAGGGGGAGGGGGGGGTCCACTTCGCTCGGGAGCTCTCGAACGGAGTGAACCCCACCCGGACCCTCGGACATCGTGGGGGGTAGGGGTAGGGTTCGCATGTGGCCCCCTAGCATCCGCTTCAACGTCCATCGGGTGCCGAGTTGGCTCCCTGCTGCCGCACACCGGCCCCGGCGGCGAGCACGGCGGCGTGCTGCAACTGCTCTCTCGCTCCTCCTCTTGCTCGGGGCAGCTGCGCTGCTGACTTTGAGGGCCTCGAGGGGTTCAGGGGGCTCTCTTGAGCCGCTCTTGTGGCCCACTGCTCTCTCTCCCCCTCTTGCTCGGGGCAGCTGCGCTGCTGACTTTGAGGGCCTCGAGGGGTTCAGGGGGCTCTCTCGAGCCGCTCTTGGGGCCGTCTCGAGCCGCTCTTGGAGCCACCTTCAGGCCTCGGGTGGCCATCGGAAGCGAAAAGCCGAGAGCGCAAAGATCATTGACTTTCCAAGAAGGTTTGGGGAGGATTCTCTGGCTTCTGGGAAGAGGATTATGGCATCCTGGGGGGAGCCGCGCATCGAGGCCACGCCGTCGCAAATCCGCCAATGCGGGCGTCAGGATGATGGCATCAGGGCGTCGGGCGGCCCCTTCTCCTCCACGCGCCTCGGGAGCGTGATGGGCCACCTGGAAACAACCACGGGCGTCTGGCAGTGACTTTCCGGCGCCACAGCAGCGCCCCGAGAGCCCCGAAGCGCCTCTGGGGCACCTCTAGGCACCCCAGACAAGCCATGCGATGTCGAGCCCCGGGCCCCCGGCCCCCTGGCCTCATGCGCACCTCTCCGAGAGAGCAGAACTCGGAGGCGATTCATCGAGGGTCCCGTCCCGTTCGAGATGTTTCTGGCCGTTTCGCTCGGGACATCCTCAAAATTCTGAAAAATCTGTGGCACCCCTCACACAGATCGTGACGTCACGTCACGGTCCGCAAAACAAAAGGGATTTGCGACATCTTGACATTAAACCTTCAAAAACACTATGGATTCAATGATTCTGAGCCTGATTCTTTCAAAATTGTAGTTCACCTGGGACATCCTCAAAAAAAACTGAGCCTCCTTTTCAACGCGGTTCTTAAACACATGCGGTTTCGCCCCAGACATCCTTCCAAAATCGAGCCCCGATGTACAACATACGCAGACTACACACAGAATACGCACACACACACACACACACACACACACACACACACACGTACGCACGCACGCACGCACGCACGCACACACACACAGACACACAGACACACACACACACACACACACACCACACACACACACACACGCGCGCGCACCACGCAAAACACACACACACACACACACGCACAACCCACACACACACACACACAACACCTACAACAAGCATGACACACACACACACACAAAGAATACACACATACGAAAATCCAACTCACACAGACACACATATTACAACACACACGCAACGCACGTACGCACGCACGCACGCACGCACGCACGCACGCACGCACACACAGACACACACACACACATACACACACACACACACACACACACACACGCGCACACCGCATCACACGCAGAACAGACATGACCCAGGCATGATTCACACATGGCACACGCACAACACGTCACACGCACACAACACAAAACATACATGACACAAACCTTTCTCTCTCTCACACACACACACGCACGCACCACACACGCACATATCCTGCACGTGCGTTTGTATGAGCCCAGGCACGCACGTGTCATCTGTATACGCATATGTTGCAAATGTGTATAAATGGATACACATCTACATATACATGTACGTGCATATGTACATATGCACCTTACACATGTGGATATACATACAAACGTATATACATATACATGCTATATATACACATACATGCACCAGTACATACACCTGTACACAAACATACAGACATACCAACAGGTGTTTTTCTCGTTTGCCGCAAGACTGTGTATGACCTTTGTGGTTCTCGTCGGCCTCGCTGCATGCACTGTGATTGTTCCTCTGCACATCCTCCTCATCATCCCTCCCCGCATCGGTCGCCTCGAGGGCCACCCTGGGATCGTCCCGGAGCTCCTCCGACGCAAACTCCAGCGCGTCACCGTTTTGCCTGACGGCCTCTCCGCGGGCGTCGTCGTCGTCGCCTGGGCCGTCGCCGAGGTGACGACGACCACGATGGCAAAGGCGACGGCAACGAGAAACTGAGAACTCGGGAAGAGAAGGGAGAAGAGGTGGACGTCGCCAGGGCTATGGCCGGCAAGAGGGTGTGGGAGACACGCCTCGCGATCTCCGTCGCAGCACCAGCACACGACCGTCCCTAGCTCCGTGCGCTGACCCTCCATCGCCGCAACCCGCACTTCGCCCGCACGGTCCCCGACTCCCCCCATGGCCCTCGTGCTGCCCTCCCTCGCCGCCAGGCTTCCTCGGTCGGCGCTGCCATCGGTACCCAGCCCCATGTTGCTTGCTTCTTGCCATCGCTCGGACGCCCATTCCCCGGGCATAGTTCGGTTTCGTGCGTGTTTTTACTCGCACGGCGAAACAGGATGCTCCACGATGGTCCTCGCCAAGAAAAAATGCACACGTCGGAGCGATGCCAAGGTCACGAGGGAACTGTGGCGTCCCCCCTGGGCCACGGAAGGGCCCCGCGGGTCTTCGGGA